GGTTCGGGTTGGCCTATGCTTTGCTTGTCCCTCGTGGGGGGTGAACTTCTTCTCTGTCCTTCATCCTTCATCCTTCATCCTTCATCCTTCATCTTCCATCCTCCTCCGCGCCCTCCTCCTCGTCAGTGTCCTCTTTCAGGACTTCGTGTTATGAACGTTTGGTTCAAGTGGCTTACGCTATTCCGCCGACTCCCAGAAGGAGTCAGAGCTTGCGACGACCGTGGAAGCTCTCTAGTGGCCTTCTGCCCAGCCCGCCGCAGTGCTCGGGCTGTGGGTCAGGAGCCCTCTTGGAGGGCTCTCGGGTGCATCTGGGAGGCGTTTTTGGGGCCTCTTGGGGGCCTCTTCGGGGCTTCTTGGGGGCGTCTTGGAGGCCTCTTGGGGCTCTTTGGGGTGCCTCGGGGGCCTCTGGGGGGCTCCTGGGGCCATCTTGGGTGGAACAACTCGAACTATAAGTTCGTATTCCCCCTCTTGGACTTGCTTGGGACACTCTTGGGGCTCTCTTGGGCCGTCTTGCGGGCCCCTGGGCCGTCTCAGGGGCCCTCTTGGGGGTCTCGTCTCGTCTCGTCGTCTCGTCTCGGTGCGGGAACGGCGATCTCGTCTTGTCGTCTCGTTGGGGGCTTCATCGGACGTCTTGTGACGATCTTGGGGGTCCCTTGGGCAGTCTTAGAAGCTGTCAAGACGAAAAGGCGAGTGTACTAAAACTGTACGTCTTCCAGCAAGGGAATGGGACTACTTATGCCTCTTGGGACGTTTTTGGCGGCCCTCTGGGAAAACTTTTGGATTGTCTTTGGGGCCTTGTGGGCCGTCTTGAAGTCAGGTTGTGTCGTCGTGGGGCTACTCTGGGCCGTGTCGGCGCTCTCTCGACTGTCTTGGCGCTCTGTCTGGGCCCTCATGGGGCTTTTTGGAGGCGTCTGAGGCCCCAGGGGTGCCTTGACGAGCTCGACCCCACTCTACCTCCCCCCTCAAACGGCCTGTTGGACCCCAGGGGAGGGAGAAAGGGGGCGGGGACAGCCAAGTGCCTCACACGCCCTGTCACCCCTTGCAAGTGGGGGTCGGCGGATCTCCAGGAAGAGCTGCCGTCGTCTCCATCCACCCGCGCAAGATTCAGCAGGCGGGGGCGGGACATAAAAACGGAGCATGGGCCACGTTGTAGTCGAGGGTCCGGCCGGTAAAGGGCGTGCTTGTGTGTCGCCTGGCCAGAGCACGCTGAGCCGCCGCCGTGGTTCGCGCGCCGCAGGGCCCGCATGCGGGCTCCCGACGCGCGTCGCGGCGCGCTGGCGGCTGCCCGCTGCCGCGCGCGCGCGTGTGGCGACGCGCCTTAGAGTGGGCTGCCGAAGCCTAGGGCCGCCACCGCCTCGTCGCTCGTGGACCACGCTCTCGTCGGCCTTGTCACCCACGGAGGAAGTGGCGAAGTCAAAGGCGGGCCATTCGCCGCAGCGCCCACATGTCGAGCCGGGTCAAGCGCTCGACCTCTGACGCCCCTCGTCAGGCATCTGGACGAGAGTTGGCGGCCCAACGGGCGGTCGGTCGTGGTCCATCTTCCTGGCAGGCATTCGATGGTGCCGCCTCCAAGCAGGTCTCGAGTACGTCAAGGGCAGCAGTTCAACGAGGCAAGGCGTGGTATGTTAACATCATCTGCTCCTCAAGTTCATGTTCAAGGCTCACAGATATTTAGGCTTGTTGAACGTCACAAAGCCGTAGTGCGCTTTGCTCAGCATCAAGTGCCGCCGCTGCTTGTCACTCACAGACGTCAGCTCACGGCCAATGCTCGATCGGTACCCATTCGCTACCCGCGACGAGGCGACTCTCGGCACCCCTCGTCCGAGAGCCTGCCGCACGGCCACAAACGGTCGACGGCGCTGTCACCGTGTGTATTGCGCTCCGTGTCATTTCTGGGTGAGCGCATGCCGCAGTCGCCACCTCGTCGCCATCTCTCGCTGAAGGTCCAGCCCTAGTCACTTACTTACTGGTGGGGCTGGCGGCGATTAGTCCAACGTGGCTCACGGCTCGGGCTGCAAACCGGCCCGTCGATCCCGCACCCATCTTGGTCGAGGACAAGAGCCATGGCGCCCATCGGCTCCCTCGAGCACGCTGCTACGACAGCCAGCAAGGGCAAGGACAATCGGACAATCACACAGACAAGAATAAGAGCGATCCCAGGCAAGAAGACACTTCGAGAACATTGTGGAGTTTGTATACCAGTGGAACGTCGCCGATCTTCCAGCAAGAAGGAGTTCCGCAGGGTCGGGGAGAATGTCAAGCGTCAGCGCGCCAGCGCGGCCCTTCCGCGCGGCCGGCGCAGGCGAGGAGTCACAGCAGCCCTCGCCCACGGGCAGTGCTTAGCTCGGCACGCCCAGCAAAAAAATCACGCGCGGAGTTTGAGATCGGAGCGGCCCCCGTGGATCGTGACCGCGGCGAGCTTTGGGGCGATAGTGCCAACAAATGCTCGCATTCCTCAAGGTCTGTCTCCATCCACCACCTTTTCCAACTTACCGGGTCAATGCACGTCACTTCCACCCGTCCAGTCACATGACCCCGGGGCCGTCAGTTTGCCTACGTCTTGGGGCAAGTGTTAAACCCCCACGTCTGCGGCCCGAGGTCACCATCATCACGCGCAATGCGGCACGAGGAAACCCAAGCCATCATCACTCATGCGTGTGAGCTCTTCGAGTGCCGCTCTTGAGAGCACGAGCGAGCTCACCATTGCAGTATATGGGCCCGCGCTCCCCCGACGCGTCGCGCGCCCGTCAGGTCAGACAGCGACGGTGTCTCCCTGCCGAGTCTAGAATTGATTGTGGTTGGACAGTTCTGGTTCCCTTCTTCTTTTGGTTTCTCCTTTCCCGCCAGAGCTGCTCGATCGCCAGAACAATCCCGACTCGAAAGGGAGGAGTCGCCGCTGTTTGGCCCGAGCGTCGACGCGTATTTATTTGTTGTATAGACAGTAAAGGACCCGCGATCTACATCTTATTGCCGCCATGGTTTCTCTCGTACAGCTTCCAATGCCCCGCACTTATTGTTCCTTCTCCTCCTCTTCCTCGTCCTCCCACGCTTTCCCTCGCTCCCCCTCGAGCCCCGATCCTCGATCCCCGAACCCCGATCCTCGACCCTCGAACCGCGGTTGCCGCCGCCGCCGCGTTCCTGGGCTTCCCGCTGCGCCATCTGCGCTCGCCCCTGTCGCCGCCGGGTCCTGTGGCCGCGGCCGCGGCCGCCTCCGAGGGCGGCGAGGCCGCGGGCGCGGCTGTGCGTGCGGCCGCGCAGGGCGCAGCGGAAGGGCAGAACAACGGCGTACATCAGGGGCAAGAGTGTGGGGGTCTCGGTTCGTGGTTCGAGGTTCGGGCGACGAAATCTATACATATCCACTGCTCCCCGGCCAGGCCCAGCCTGAACCTGGGAGCTGTGTGTACGCCCTCCTGGCCGAGCCAGGAGGGCGTGACGTGTACACCGCTGCTGGGTTCAGAATGGGCCTGGCCAGGGAGCAGTGGATATGTATAGATTTCGTCGCCCTAGAGGTTGTCGGACGTGGTTCGAGGCTTCCTTGCGTTCTCGCCGGTCTTCGGCGGTTTTTTCCAGCGTCGGGGCGCTTTTTCCAGCAGCTGCGCCTCGCCGGGAGCGCTCCCGGGGCGTGCTCTGGAGCGGGGCTCGAGCGGCCGCCTGAGAGCCGAGCTGCGGCCCGAAAGCCAGGCCGCCTCGCGTCGTGGCGAGCATCACGACGTTTTTTTTTTTTTTTGTTTTGTTTTTTTTGTTTTTTGTTTTTTTTTGTTTTGTTTTTTTTGGGGGGGGGCAACAACCAATTATGACGGTTTTTTTTTTGCCGCTCGCCGCCGCCGAGCGAGGCGGCGCCCGTTCCGCCGAGGTGCTCGGGGAGCTCCAGCTCCCGAGGGCCCCGAGGAGGAGAGAGGCGAGGAGGGCCCCTCGCGCCGCGCGGTGCGCTTTCGTGCGCTCCCGTGGCGGGCCTCGGCCTCCTCCAGCCTCCGCCATCTTTCCAGCCTCTCGTGGGTAGCCTGGGCAGCCAGCCTCCATATGGCTCTGCGCCATTTTTCCAGCCTCTCGTGTCGGCTCTCGTGGGAAGTTGGCCTCCAGCCCCTCCGGTCGGCCTCCAAGGGCCCTCGGCGGGCTCCAGGACCGTCAAACGGCGACCCGGGACCAATACCAGGACGTAAGGATGGTGTCGAGGCACCCGAGGGTCCGCGTTGCGCAGGAAGCATGGCGTCGGGGGTCTGGGATCTGGGACCAGGTCAAGAGGAGGGACTTCCCCATGGTCGTTCAGGGATGTCCCTCCAAGGAAAGCCCCGACCGAGCCCATGTTGCCCTTTTCTCCTTGGTATGGCTGCGTATTCCCTCCATCAAACATCTTGGACAGCGCGGACCCCAGACAGTGAGTTATTTCACTGTTGATGTGTAAGGTATATGGTGGAAGCTGTGCGGTACAATCTGTGTATGTGGTGAAAGCGATGCGGTGCAAGCTTTGTGGTGGCGGGTGTGTGGTGCAAGCTATGCGGGATAAGCCAGGTGCTGTAAGCTGCGTGGTGTTCGCGATGCGGTGAAAACCATGTGGTGTAAGCGAGGTTGTGTGAGCTATGCGGTGCAGTATACGTGCTGCAAGCTGCGTGCTGTAATCTATGTGGTTCAATCCATGTGGTGTGCTGTGCGGTAGAAGCTATGCGGCCGCCCTCGGGTAACGCAAGCAAAAACCACTTAGTGCAGGCACCGCTGGGGATCGAATGAGCTTCTGGAGGTCCGTGTGGATTTCTCGGAGGCGCCGTCGCTGGCGCGTTCCGCGCGCCAGAGGTAGGGGTTTGGCGCCGAAAGAGGAGGAGGAGGAGGAGGAGGAGGAGGAGGAGGAGGAGGAGGAGGAGGAGGAGGAAGGAGGAGGAGGAGGAGAGAGGAGGAGGGAGAAGGATGCAGGAGGGGGAGGAGGAGGCGGGAGGAGGTGAGGAGGAGGAGGGAGGAGGAGGAGGAGGAGGAGGAGGAGGAGGAGGATCCAGGAATTCCGCGTGCAGGTTCGGGCGGTCATGCATGTGCAGAGCCGGCGCCGGCCCGCGCCGCGGTGGCGGTCCTGGACGCGGCCGGCCTACAGATCGTCGCGTACCTCGAGGGGGATTGAGGGCCGATGACCGAGGAGGTCGAGGCTTGGGCGTCGTTGGCCTCTTTTCCGAGGCGGGAATTTACACGTGACCACCGCCGGGAGGATCAATTTTCGGAGGCCTCGGCGGGCGGTTGCTATGGATACATTCGGGCCCCCCCAGTGGCCAAAATGTGTCCCTATCCGCCGCCCGCTGGGGCACCAGGACGTCGTTTCCCAGGTGGTGGATACGGACAAATCCCCGCCTCGCATCTTTTTCCCAGAAAGGGCTCGGGCCCAGGTTTCTTTTGGTATGTAAACCTGTCCCCGGTGCCATGCTTGTAGAGGGCAGGCGAAGCTCCGTTCGGAAACCAAAACGAGTGCCGATGATCGAGGAAGTCGAGGTTTGGGGGTCGTCGGCCTTTTTTCCTGGAAAGGGCTCGGGCCCATGGTTCTCTTTTAGTGTGTTTACCCCCGGTTCTGACGGCTGTAGGGCCGGCGAAATTGTTTTGCGATAGATGACGAGGTCGCGTAGGGCCGGCGAAACCATTTTTGAGGATGTCTCGAGCGAAACGCTTGTTTTTTAGAATTTGTTGCGAATGTCTCGAGCGAAACGCTTGTTTTGTTTTATATATTGTTTTCTCCTGGGGACCTGAATTCAGAGGATTTCTTAAGTGAAATGCTTGTTTTTACGTGCCCAGGTCTTGAGGATGTCTCGAGCGAGACGCTTAGTTTCACGCCTCCAGGTTGCCAGGCAGATGTCTAGCATGAGGATTTGTTGAGGATGTCTCGAACTAGAGGCTTGTTTTCATGTGTCCAGGTCGCCCTGGCAGATGTCTAGCATGAGGATGTGTCAAGGAAGTCTCGATCGAGACGCTTGTTTGCACGTGTCCAGGTTGCCCAGGCGGATGTCTAGCATGAGGATGTGCTGAGAACGTCTTGAGCGAAACGCTTATTTTCACGTGTCCAGGTCGCCCAGGCACAGCACAGCCTTCGGCACGGTACATCAATATCGATACCCTTAGCATTGCAGCCTGGCATGTTGCCTGGCACGTTCCGCGGAGCGTCCCGTGGCGAGTCCCCCTGGCACGTCGCGCGGTGCACGTTCATTGGCACGTTCCGTAGCGCGTCCCCTTGGCACGTCCCGCGGTGCGTGCCCACGGCACGTCCCCTGGCACATCGCCTGGCGCGTCCCTTGGGACGTTTCGCGGAGCGTCCTCCTGGCGTATCCCCCTGTCGATGAGTTCTGGGGCAGCTACCATCTGCTCAGGCAGCTCGAGCTTAATATCCAGATCAGTTCGGTCAGGACTCGGATGCCAGGGAGGACTCGATCCACAACGCTGTATAGAGCACAATCGCGGCATGGCACATCAAAGTTCAGCACGGCGTAGCACAGCACAGCCCTCGGCACGGTACATCAAGATCGATACACTCAACATTGCACCTGGGCACGCTCCTTGGCGCGTTCCATGGCGAGTCCACCTGGCACGTCGCGCGGTGCGTCCCCTGGCACGTCCCGCGGCACGTCCATTGGCACGTTCCGTAGCGCGTCCCCTTGGCACGTCCCGCGGTGCGTGCCCATGGCACGCCCCCTGGCACATCGCCTGGCGCGTCCCTTGGGACGTTTCGCGGCGCGTCCTCCTGGCATGTCCCCTCTGTCGATTAGTTCTGGGGCAGCTACCATCTGCTCAGGCAGTTCGAGCTTAATATCCAGATCAGTTCGGTCAGGACTCGGATGCCAGGAAGGACTCGATCCACAACGCTATATAGAGCACAATCGCGGCATGGCACATCAAAGTTCAGCACGGCGTAGCACAGCACAGCCCTCGGCACAGTACTTCAATATCGATCCATTCAGCATTGCATTTGCCCGTCGCCCAATCAGGTGTCTTTGAAACGTTGCCATGTCTTACATTTCTATATTCCTTTCTGGGTTCGTGTGTCGATCATGTTTCCCAACCATCCTGTGGTGTTGGGTTCTCGTTTTGAAGAGACAACGCCCCGCGTCTCCTCTCCTCCTCCTCCGCCTCCTCCCTCCTCCCCCTCCTTGCTTCTTCCATCCGCATGTCTCTGTTTCGGCACACCCAGTGCAGCGTTTCTTGGCCCCACAGGGAGGTCCACCGAAGGCCCCAGTGGTGGAACTCGCATGCGGCTCCTCCACGCAGTGCAGCGTTTCATGGCCCCATAGGGAGCTCCACCGAAGGTCCCAGTGGTGGAACTCGCATGCGGCTCCTCCACCCAGTGCAGCGTTTCGTGGCCCCATAGGGAGCTCCACCGAGGGTCCCAGTAGTGGAGCTCGCATGCGGCTTCCCCTCCCAGTGCAGCGTTTCGTGGCCCCATAGGGAGCTCCACCGAAGGCCCCAGTGGTGGAACTAGCATGCGGCTCCCCCACGAAGTACAGCGTTTCGTGCCCCCGTAGGGAGCTCCACCGACAGTCCCAGTGGTGGAGCTCGCATGCGGCTTCCCCTCCCAGTACAGTGTTTCGTGGCCCCATAGGGAGCTCAACCGGAAGTCCCAGTGATGGAACGTGCATGCGGCTCCCCACCCCAGTACAGCGTTTCGTGGCCCCGTAGGGAGCTCCACCGACAGTCCCAGTGGTGGAACTCGCGTGCGTCTGCCCACCCAGGACAGCGTTTCGTGTTCCCATTGGGAGCTCCACCGAGGGTCCCAGTGGTGGACCTACCATGTGGCTTCCCCACCCAGGATGGGGCTTCGTGGCCCCATATGGAGCTCCACCGAAGGCCCCAGTGGTGGAACTCGCATGCGGCTCCCCCACCCAGTACAGCGTTTCGTGGCTCCATAGGGAGCTCCACCGAAGGTCCCAGTGGTGGAACTCGCATGCGGCTCCCCCACCCAGTACAGCATTTCGTGGCCCCATAGGGAGTTCCACCGAAGGTCCCAGTGGTGGAGCTCGCGCTCGGCTTCCCCTCCCAGTACAGCGTTTCGTGGCCCCATAGGGAGCTCCACCGGAGGCCCCAGTGGTGAAACTCGCATGCGGCTCCTCCACCCAGTGCAGCGTTTCGTGGCCAGGTCCCAGTGGTGGAGCTCGCATGCGGCTTCCTCTTCCAGTACAGCGTTTCGTGGCCCCGTAGGGAGCTCCACCGAAGGCCCCAGTGGTGGAACTAGCATGCGGCTCCCCCTACAAAGTACAGCGTCTCGTGGCCCCATAGGGAGCTCAACCGAAAGTCCCAGAGGTGGAACTCGCATGCGGCTCCCCCACCCATTACAGCATTTCGTGGCCTCATAGGGAGCTCCACCGAAAGTCCGAGTGATGGAACGTGCATGCGGCCCCCCAACCCAGTACATCGTTTCGTGCCCCCATAGGGCCCTCCACCGAAGGTCCCAAGCGGTGGAACTCGCATGCGTCTGCCCACCCAGGACAGCGTTTCGTGTTCCCATGGCGAGCTCCACCGAGGGTCCCAGTGGTGGACCTACCATGTGGCTTCCCCACCCAGGATGGGGCTTCGTGGCCCCATATGGAGCTCCACCGAAGGTCCCATTGGTGGAACTCGCATGCAGCTCCCCACCCAGTGCAGCGGTTCGTGGCCTCATAGGGAGGTCCACCGAAGGTCCCAGCGGTGGATCTCGCATGCGGCTCCCCCACCCAGTGCAGCGTTTCGTGGCCCCATAGGGAGCTCCACCGAAGGTCCCAGTGGTGGAGCTCGCGTGCGCCCCCCCCGCCCAGTGCAGCGTTTCGTGGCCCCATAGGGAGCTCCACCGAAGGCCCCAGTGGTGGAACTCGCGTGCGGCTCCCCCGCCCAGGATAGCGTTTCGTGGCCCCATGGGGAGCTCTACCGAAGGCCCCAGTGGTGGAGCTCGCGTGCGGCTCCCCCACCCAGGACAGCGTTTCGTGGCCACATGGGGAGCTCCACCGAAGGCCCTAGTGGCTGCACTCGTATGCGACTCTCCCACCCAGTACAGCGTTTCGTGCCCCCATAGGGTGCTCCACCGAGGGTCCCAAGCGGTGGAACTCGCATGCGGCTTCCCCACCCAGCACAACGTTTCGTGGCCCCATAGGGAGCTCCACCGAAGGTCCCAGTGGTGGAACTCGCATGCGGCTCCCCCACCCAGTGCAGCGTTTCGTGGCCCCATAGGGAGGTCCACCGAAGGCCCCAGTGGTGGAACTCGCGTGCGGCTCACCCACCGTGCGGCTCACCCACCTAGCGTAGTGTTTCGTGGCCCCATACGGAGCCCCACCGAAGGCCCTAGTGGCTGCACTCGCATGCGGCTCCCCCACCCAGGACTGCGGTTCGTGGCCCCACAGGGAGCTCCACCGATGGCCCCAGTGGTGGAGCTCGCGTGCGGCTCCCCCACCCAGTGCAGCGTTTCGTAGCCCCATGGGAAGCTCCACCGAAGGTCCCAGTGGTGGAGCTTGCGTTCGGCTCCCTCACCCAGTACAGCGTTTCGCGGCCCCATGAAGAGCTCCACCGAAGGCCCTAGTGGCTGCACTCGCATGCGGCTCCCCCGCCCAGGACAGCGTTTCGTGGCCCCATAGGGAGCTCCACCGAAGGCCCCAGTGGTGGAACTCGAATGCGGCTCCCCCACCCAGGACAGCGTTTCGTGGCCCCATAGGGAACTCCACCGAAGGCCCCAGTGGTGGAACTCGAATGCGGCTTCCCAGCCCAGTACAGCGCTTCGTGGCCCCATAGGGAGCTCCACCGAAGGCCCATGCGGGCTCCCCACCCAGTACGGCGTGTCGTGGCCCCATAGGGAGGTCCACCGAAGGTCTCAGTGCTGGAACTCGCATGCGGCTCCCCCTCCCAGGACAGGTTTTCGTGGTCCCATAGGGAGCTCCACCGAATGCGATATTCACAATGACGGTATTCACAACTGCATATTTTTGGGTCCTTCGCCAGGCTCATTTCGATCTCTCCACGTCGACGTCGTGAGTTTTTCGCGGGGTGCACCCCCAGAGGTCTGGACGCCTTCTTTGGGGACCGGCTTTGCATCCTGAGTCGTGTCTTTACGGCCTCAGGAGTCCAGTAATCCCGGCCCTTGGGTTCGAAAATTTGCAAGAGCCTTGGGCCGTGTATTTTCAGGGGAGGCCAATTGTACCGGAGAGCAGACGTACCCTTCGGGGGCAACGATAAGGGCGGAAGAGGCATGGGGGGGATGCATCGACCCCAACTCGCCGATGGATTGCCGAGAGGGGCCGGATAGCCCCACCCCGCCCAGAAAGGTGCGGATTCACTATCAGAGGCCTATCGCCGATCTATCGACGATGTATCGCCGATTCCAGGTCGATGCATCCCCCCCTATGCCTATTCCGCCCCTATCGTTGCCCTTCAACCCTGGAGCGGCTGCCTCAGGGCCCACCTTGGCGCCCAACAGCTGCGTTTTGGCGCCCCACGTGGCTGCCACCGTGGCCGCTGCGACACCTCACTGGGGCACGTCGTCCTGGGGGTACGTTTGGTCCTCTCCAAACTCTTGTCACGACGCGAGGAGGTCTGGGCCGGGAGGCCTCCTGAGGCCTCCTGGAGCTTCCTGGACACGCCCGGGAGGGGACTTCCGATGCCTTCCGCGCGGAGGTACATGTGCGTGGCGGACGCGTGGCGCGCGCGGGCTGTGAGCAGGTGCGCCGCGGTGAGGAATCCGCGGTCATGTGTCTCCGGTCATGGACGGCACTCCCGCGCCGTGCTGCCTGGTCTGATCGGGCTCCGTCTTTGGCTTTTCTTCTCGCCTCTTGACTTGCCGCTTTGTGCCTGTATTAGCATCCGGTGCAGCCCACCGCTCGCTTTGACCGGCGCCTGACTGTCTCGCACACCCTGGCGCCCGCGGTTCTAATAGTGTCTGATCATGGAACCGTTGTGGAGCGCAGCCGTCTAGCTTTCCTGCCGAAGACCGCCGAAGACCGCCATAAGAACGCCGAAGACCGCCGAACACCGCCCGAGGCCTACGGGTCACAGGGGCTCCACGCTCGAACACGTGCGGCCAGGAATCTTGGCGCACAGCGTGTCGTGCCGCCGGTCTTGGCCCACCGCGCTTCGGCGCGACGCGCGCTGACCACTTCCCGTCTGCAAGCGTCAACGTCCCGAGCCTTTCCGAGCTTCCCGCCCCGCGGAGCGGAACGACACGCCGCCCGCCCGCAGGGCGCCGCGTGGCCCGGGGGCCGCCGCCGCGCCACGCCGAGCGGAGCCGCTCGGCCGTCATTCGCAGTGGCGAGCTCGACCTGGGCCAGGGCCGCCCGTGCCCGCTCTCGCAGGTCCTGAGCAAGGGCTCCCTCGAGGGCGCGAAGTTATTCGCGCTTCGCGCTTCGCGGTCCTCGTTCCCTCTCCCCCTCCTCCTCGTCCTCCTATTCTCCCTTTGGGAGGGCGGCGCGAGAGCGCGAAGTTATTCGCGCTTCGCGCTTCGCGCAGCGCGAAGCGCGAAGTTGGGAGCCCTAGCTGAGCCTCCGCCGGTGTGCTGGGCTCCCCCGCGGGGTCTGGATCGGGAGCCGGAGGCGACGATAGGGGCGAATATAGCCTAGGGGCAGACACTACACGTCTTCGCCAGGGAGCGTTGGCGAAGCCGTGGGCCATCGGCGCCCCTGGTGTGCTGCTCCCCCCCGGGCTCTGCACCCCTCGTCGTCGCCTCCGAAGGCGCCGGGGGTGGGGCCCGCAGGCTCGGCCGTCCGAGTCGGCCTCTTCGAGGTCGGCTGCGTTCGCAGGCTCGCACGGAGGATGGGAGTGGGGAGCCGCGCAGGGCCCCATGGGGCCTGGGGGAGCCGTGGGGGCCCGGCGGCCCCTTTGGGGCCAGGGCCCCCCCCCCCCCCCCCCGCGGGAGGGGCTCGGGAGTCGGAGCGCGCGCTCTCGGCCCTCCCCCCGCGGCTTCCCCGAGCTTCGGCGGCGCGCGCCAAGGGCGGTGGCGGTGGAGGAGGAGGAGGAGGAGGAGGAGGAGGAGGAGGAGGAGGAGGAGGAGGAGGAGGAGAAGGAGGAGCTTTGGAAAGGCGGGGAGGGGGGCTTCCAAGAGGACACAGGCCCTTTTCGGAAGGGCCCCAGGGGGCTTCTGCAAGAAGGCTTCGCTTAGAGGTCAGGATGGCTTCGGAGAGGCTCCCTTGCCTTCCTGGAGGCCCTCCCTTCTCTTTCGAAGACCGCCCCCTCTGCCGCCACATCTTCGTGCGCGCCGCCAAGGCACGGCGGAAGTCGGCTGACATCTCTCTGCCGGCGCCCAGGTGCTTCGTCCGCTTCTGCCAGGAGTGGCTCGCTGCGGCACGGCGCCACGGCGAGGCCCGCGCGGGCGCGGCCAGCGCCATCGTGGTCAGGACCCCAGCTCGCGCCTCTTTCCCAACCATCCTGTGGTGTTGGGTCCTCGTTTTGAGGAGACAGCGCCCCGCGTCAGCTCCTCCTCCTCCTCCTCCTCCCGCTGCCCCCTCCCTCCTCCTCCTCATCGTCACCATCAGCATCATCCCACCCATTGTGCGTGGCACACCCCTCACACGGTTCGTGGCCCCACAGGGAGCTCCACCGAAGGCCCCAGTGGCACAGGCCGCATGCGGGGACCGCATCCATTGTGGCACACAGGGAGGGCGAACGCAGTGAATTTACAACGGATCGTGGCCCTGGAAGCGCGGACGCAGTGTAATTTTCAATGGATCGTGGCCCTGGGAGCGCGGACACAGCGTAATTTACGAGGGATCGTGGCCCTGTGTCAGGGACGTCCCTGACGCGTTCCCTGGCACGTTCCCCCGCGCGTCGCCTGGCACGT